GGGTTCTGATATCTTATTTGTAAGACACAGAAACATAATAATCTCTCATAAGAACACGCAACTAGTGCGAAGCTTGTAACGTTTTCGATTCATAAGTGATATTGAGTTTGTCTCCGGTTTGGAGAAAGACTCGCCAAACATATTTCCGTGTTGTTTGATTCGAGTTGTTACAAGAACAAGTCTAGGTCGATTCTCTACATCCTATCCTCAGTAGAGAGAAAGTCGATCATGTGTTGCAACTTGCAAGCCAAACCATTAATCTATACATCCATTTCTCTGTCTCCTATACAGAAAATTTCTTATTTTTTTTTTAATTTATATATGTAGACAAACAAGTGACATTCAATATCATCTTCATCAAAGCACCATGAAGAACAATAATTGAAGATCAACAACAACTATAGTAGTATATATACTATTTATAGACGATGTCTTACACTAATTATACACTTATAGTGGTACATGAAAATCTATAACATATTTTAGATCTCGTCGGACCAATCACTAGGCTTAGTGTCGTAGAACAACCCATCAACGATCTGATCAACTAAGGAGTCAATAAACGAGTTGCAACTCACTGTAAAGATCCTTCCAACTCGCTTCCTAGAAATCGTTAACCACGCGAACACTGCTGCGCATCCCATAGCTCCAAGACCCGCTACAATGGCTTCACTCAACCCTTCCACGTCAAGTTTCTTGAACAACGAGTTCCCCGTAACAACCTCCTCTGCCACAGTCGCCGCGAAAACAATCTGTACAAAAGGATACAAAATTAGAGAGCGAATTCATTTATTAAAACCTGATTTTTCATCCACAATGAATTATATGAAAAATAAAGATTATCAATGATAAATTGTAAATTTCCAAAAAAATAATTATTTTTATTAAAATTCTATTGATTAAAAATTATAGGAATTTTTTTAGTTAAAAATGTTATATTAGTAATTAAAAATTTATATATATTTTTTTTAATATGTGTGAAAAATCTAAAATATACAACTTATTGAAATAGATAATAGTTAGGAAACTATAACCATAACACCAAACTGGTGTTTAATTAGGTATTGAATTATCTGAAGCCACAATACCAAATTCTACACCAAAATAAATTTTATATATTCTTTTTGTAGCATTAGTAGTTTTAATACAATGATTACTTTGTAATTGATTAGTTATATTTGATCACTTTTATATTTTGTGTTTACCATGGCGAGACGACCTGAGATGGTTTCAAAGTCCTGACTCTTCTTGGAGCTCTCTATGTAATCAGTTAGCGTCTCGAAGAAGGGAGACACTAACTCCACCTCAGATCCTTCATCTCCGCCGTCTTTTTTAGTGACGATCATCTCAGATCCGTAAGATCTCAGCGTGCAAAGCCTTGGTTGAAGCACGATCTTCCCGCTCTCGGCAAAATCGCCTCCTCTAGGTCGTTGCTGGATCTGGATCTGCTTGATCGGTTCAGATGATTCGCATCTAGTAACCAGCGACGGTAACTGGCAGCGAATCGCACGCGTAGCCATAGCCATTGTTGTTGATGATGATCCTTGGAATCTTTGAGGAGGGAAAGTGAGAAGTGATGGGAAACAAAACAAGGAATCTGCATGGTGACTAAAGAGGACACGTCGTGTCGTTTATTGTGAGGTGGCGAGATATAGTTCGACGTGGTTCTCTTTTGGCTCAGTAACGTGCTTTTCAGTCAAAAGTATTTAACGTTATAGAAATTAGAAATTAGTCGGGGGATATTGGAACTGCGTGTCGTTTTGCTTTTATCCACTCGAAGCTGAGTGAACCATATTCAATTCGACCCACTAGTTCACTCTTTATTCCAAGGTTTACAATGCTTTTGTTTTTGTTCCAAAATTCACACTCCCACTAATATCCAAGGGCTCTTTGCCTATTAACAAAAAAAGAAATATTATTCATAAATATTATCAATATCTTTATGTCATCCACTCTTTTTTATCCATTCAAGTTTCTTGTTTATCAGTTATTTTAAGATAAACGACCTATTTCCACACGGAAAATATCATATAGCAGCAGTTCCACACGACCTTTCAGGTTCATCTTAATTGCACATAATATAACTATCTCAACATATTTCCCTCCATTATAAAAGTTCGAAACACGAATCCACACAATCGAAGATTCTCATGGTTTATGTGTGGTTTACTATTTGTTGAGTTAAAAAAAAAACCAATGGCTAACATAATTAACCCGAAACGACCTAATTAGAGAGAGTTAACCGGTTTTATATGGTTTAGTGACCCAAACTAATTACCCAACCACTAAACCAAGTTTCTGAAGCAGTAAATCAAAAACCCTAAATTCCCAATTCCAAATTTCTCACTCGCGAAAAACTAGAACCTAATAGATTCATCTAGGTCGTCACTTCTCTGGTAGTATTTGTCGTTGACATATCAACCTAAGGTGATTTCGACAACTCCTCTTGTTCTTATTTATCTTTGTCGGTTCATATAGTGATTTGTAACCTTGTTTATCAATTTTTCAGAAATTAACTATGGCTGAGAATCAGTGGAACTTTGTGCCTATTGATTGGGATACTGTGCCGGATTATGTTCCTCTTGATATTAACTCCGATGGTGAAGATTGCAAAGAGCGTAATGATTACAACATAGAGAAAGAGGTTGGTGAGTTTGTCAATGAAGGTTCAGTCAGACATAATGTATATCCTGAAACAGATGAAGATGAAGATGGAGAAGAAATCCAACGGACAGTGGACCATCGCAGCGATATTAAGAGAGGCAGTGGAAATTTGTATGAATGCCAAGTTTTCATCAGTGGAATTGCGTTCAAGGAAGCTGTGCTTGATTATGCTCTAGCAACAGGTCGGAACATCAAGCATAATCATTATGACAAAATGAAACTTGAGTTTGTGTGTGATGGGATTCTTGGCGCATCTACTGCTCAACCTCGAGTAAGTCTCCTAATAAATGGCAGGTGAAGATCATGAAGAAATCTGATAGTTGTGTCCCTACATGTACTTGTGAGATGCTTAAAGTTCCTGTAATAGCTCGTTTGTTTGTTGATAAGATCCTAGAAGAAACCGAGTACTTCATGCCTATGAAGATAGAGGAGTTGATTATGGAGAAATGGAAACTTACTGTGACAAGGCCTCAGTGTCAACATGATAGGAACAAAGCTATCACGTGGATTAAAAGAGAGTACGATGAGCAGTTTGGACGCCTCCGTGATTACTGCAGTGAGATAATGGCCTCCAACGAGAACTCTTCTGTTGAGCTAGATTGCGTGAGAAATGAGGACGGTGTAGATGTTTTCAAGAGATTTTATGTCTGTTTCGACATTTTTAGGAAGACTTGGAAAGAAAATTGTAGGCCTCTAATAGGAGTAGATGAGTGTTTCTTAAAGTCAAAGTTAAAAGGGCAGTTGTTGGTTGCTATGGGTCATGATGCTGATAATGCAATATATCCTATTGCATGGGCAGTGGTACAAGTAGAGAATAAGGATAATTGGTTGTGGTTTGCGAGGAATATAATTGATCTAGGACTTAACAAAGGGGATGGTTTCGTCATGGTTTCTGATCGGCAAAAGGTAATATCCCACATATATTTCTGTTTTGATAACCTTCTTGACTATAACTATAGGTTCATAATCATCTTTCTTGTATTTGTAGGGATTGATCGCGGATGTTAAGTGAGAGTTACCTCTTATTGAACATAGGATGTGTGTAAGACACATATATACTAACCTGAAAGGTCGTCATGTGAAAAAACCAGAAATGAAGCCAAAGGTTTGGAACCTTGCTTGGAGCTATAATTTGGCAGATTACACAGCAAACCTGTTAGACATATTCAAGTATGACAGAGAGATTCATGAGGATGTGATGAAGACAAATCCAAAGAGTTGGTGTAGGGTGTTCTACAAATTTGGACTGTGTTTTGAGGATGTCGAGAACAACTCTACCGAGTCCTTTAACAACTCCATTGGTAAAGCCAGAGACAAACCTTATGTGCCTATGTTGGAGACCATCGCTCGTTTAGTAATGGTTCGTATTGCGAAACGAGATGTCATTGCCACCAGCCATGAAGGTATTTTCACACCTTATGTGATTGAAATGCTTGAGAGTTTGCATAAGAAGGCTTCAGAATGAATGGTGAAATCGTCGACGAACAAGACATATGCATCCATTTTAAATGGCTGTGCATATAGGGTGAGCTTGGAAATTGGACTTGTAGCTGCCGGAGATGGGAGATAACAGGGATACTTCAACGTGGAGGCGTACTTATGCTGAAGGTATTGTTCCATTGCGTGGAGAAAAGTTTTGGCCTCAAGGACCAGAACCACCAATAATTGAACCAGAGATTCCGGATCAACCAGGTCGTAAAAAGGTGACCAAGGCTGAAAAAAGAGGAAGAAAGGAGTTAATGAGTCACCGGTGAAGAAGAAGAAGGAGAAGTTGATGAAGCGGATCATGCATTGTAGTACATGTGGTGCCGCTAATCATAACTCATGGTTCCATAAGAAGAACCCAAAACGGAAGGTTAGTGGGTTTGGATGTGTTTGATTTTTTGGATATGAGTTTGATATTTTCTCTGCTTGAAGCTCTATTGTTTCTGGTTTTTTTTTTAATCTATTTTCAGGCTTCTTTAGGTGATGGGTCTTCTCAGGCTGAATCTTCTCAAGGAATTTGCACTCAACTCACTCAATCCGAGAGCTAAGTTAGTGGCGATGTGGTCCTTTTTGTTGTTTCAATGACTTCTTTTACGGCTTTTAAGAATTTTATGATCTTTTAAGAATTTTATGTTGTCCTCTTTTGTTGTTTCTATGACTTTTTCTCTCTTGAATATGGTCCTTTTTATTGTTTCTATGAATGTTTAAGAATTCTTGAATTATTTTAGTAGCCTAAAACTTCTTTTGATGTGTATATTTTAGTGGCCTAAAACCTCTTTTGATGTGTATATTTTAGTGGCATGTAGAACATATACAAGCCCACTTAACAAACACAAGGAAAAAACATATCACATTTAAGCATTTTGGATCTTGTTCCACGATTCCAAATTTGACATTAAACAACTAAGATAACTAAAAATAACATACTTGTTTTCCCAACATCTTTAATTAAAACACATTTTAATAAAAACAAATTCTTAACAACAACATAACATAACGATTATCAAACTTAAGCTAAACTATCTTAGACAACACAAGCATTGTCAATATTCCTAAGAAAACAATGCCCATCACTTTTTTCACTTCCCATTTGGCTTCACTAACAACCTCTTCAATTCTTGCAAAAAGCTCAGTCTCTAACTTCATTTCAAACTCTGAAAACTTCTTCCTCTCTTCTTCCACACAATCAGAAAGAATGGTGTCTTCTAATCTGCTTATCCTAAAATTCAGTGCTTCAACCTCATCCACTAAGGCCTCATCAACCCACGTATATGTGTGATTATCATTACTCAGCTACAAACAAACACATTGTTATTAACTCACACAGGAAGAACAATGACATTCAAATTAAAAACTCACTCTTTTTCAACAGCAAAAGCACACCGATAGTATCTCCGGTAAGGATTCGCGGTGGACTTCGACATCAACGACACAAACAATTCCCCACACCAGCATCTCTTTGGTACACTGAGATACCATGGTTTTGACCCAATTTTAACCATGGTGTTTATATGATTTTATAATATATATATATATATATATATATATATATATATATATATATATATATATATATATATATATATATATATATATATATTTTGGAGTCTATTAGGTATGTTTTCAGGTTCATGAGCATTTTGGAGTAAAGTGATGATTTAGGTGCTCTTATAGAGCTTAAAAGAGAGTTTTCCCGAGTTGACTATAAAGATCAGACAACAAGGTTGATATCCAGAGATACATATCGATCGATACACATCCTGTGTGATTGATCGACGACGCTTCCGTAGAAGATGACGAATTGAGATATTTCATCGATCGATGGTACATGGCGTACATCGATCGATATCAAGCGTGAAGAACAAGTTTGACTTGGACGACTTGAAGCCCAAGTTCTCTCAATATTACAAGGTTGCCCCTGACGATTTTTTAACCTAATGGAACTCATATTTATAGTTATGCCTATGTGTTTTGGCTAGACATGCTTTTGATACCTTTACATGCTTTTTTATATCTTTGCATGCTTTTTGTACTTCTTGAGCTTGGCATGCTTTTCATGTTCTTGGTTCTTTAATTTATAAAAATATTCTTTTCATATTATTCTCATTTTCATAAAAGGTTATAAATTATAGATTTAGAAGAACACACAAAGAGATTTGTTGTTCAAAAGAACCAAGAGTTCAATCTTCTAATCTTATAAATTTCTATTATTACCTTGATGCTATGAATCACTTAGCCATGTCTGAGTAGATTCACTTGTTAGATTTAGGGTTCAAATAGTTATGAGGGATTAGCCCCAACTATAGATTGTTGAGTTGTAATGTTCATTATCCTGATGAACCCTAATGCTTACTCAAGAGTAGCTAACTAGAGTATGATCATGGAATGATTTAACTTGTTAATCATCATCCTGAA